CTGTTGATCACTGGATTGTCTGGTCCAGACACGATTATTTACAGACCGCCGCCATATAGCTGGAATATCGCTGAGTGCGGCGTTAAACTCACTTACTCACTCACTCACATGACACAACGAGCACTTTTTAGTGTCACTGTTCACATCTTTGTCTTTCACAACTGCCTTTGGATTAGTACTGCGCCTTGTAAGTGTAGCAGTGTATGTCTTTTTTTTTTTATATTGATGGACCAGGAAGTTGAGAATTTAGTTCCTGGCTTTCGGGGAGTTCAGCAGTGGTAGAAGTTGTTAGAAGGGGTTAGGCTGGTTCATGCAGTGGTGGGAGGAGGGATGATAACAGCGTATTTACGCACTGGCAGCGCTCCTTCTGGTTCCTGTAATGATAGAAAATTATATATACTCTCCCAAAGAAGAAACGCATCATGAAAATAGCAATTTCATGTAGCAATGAATTAAAACGTGATTCATTTTACAAAAGGTTTTTACTCTGTTTATGAGTCCTATGGTGTTTATGTGTTGAAACATCACAGCAAAACGCACCATCCGTAAAATACCCGTATTTAACAGCATGATTTTCAATTTCGGCATGTAGTGTCACAGAATACACAATTCACATGCAATGCACGTGAAAGTTGGGGATCAGGTAGTCTCAATGGGTATAAAAGGTTGATCGCTGTCTGTCGATTATTCACTGTATTTGGAATATTGTTGACGAAAGCAAAATGCCACGTCTAAGTGAAGCCAACCGTCATATCGCCATTGGTTTGCTTGAAGCTGGCCAGTCTCAACGTGCAGTTGCCCAACGCATGAATGTTCACCAAAGCACCATTTCACGGCTCTGGGAGAGATATCGCCGGAAAAGTGCGGTAGCAGATGCCCCTCGTAGTGGGCGACCTCGAGCGACCACTGCGGCGCAGGATCGCTACATCCGGGTACATCACCTGCGTAATCGAACAGCTACGGCGACCAGTACCGCTCGACAAATACCCGGATTGAGGAGGCTTTCTGCACAGACCGTCAGGAACAGGTTGAGAGAGGCTGGTTTACGTGCCAGAAGACCTTATTTTGGCCCTGTGCTTCGACAAGAACATCGTCGACATCGAGTTCAATGGTGCACCAACGTTCAGGCCTGGAACCTACCGAATTGGCGTAGAATCTGGTTCAGTTATGAATCACGATTTCTATTGGAACGACGCGATGGAAGAACGCGGGTGTACAGACGTCGACGTGAACGTTTCGCCGACGCTTGCTTTCCCCAGGTGGACCGATTCGGCCGGGGCAGTGTTATGATGTGGGGAGCGATCACCCGCCGTAAGAGAAGTGATTTGGTGATGATCCAGGGCAACCTGACAGCTCAACGGTACTGTGACGAAATCCTACGCCCACACCTCCTTCCAATCATTGATCGCCAGAGGGAGTTGTTTCAATAGGACAATGCCAGGCCCCACACAGCACGTCACACTAGAGACTTCCTCCAGAACCACAACATCAATGTGCTCCCCTGGCCCTCAAGATCACCGGACTTAAACCCGATCGAACATCTGTGGGATGCCCTGGACAGACGGGTGCGACGCCGTAACCCTCAGCCTCAGACACTTCAGCAACTCGCACAGGCACTACAGGCAGAGTGGACTGCGATTGGGCAACACGAGATTCTGAGACTTATTCGTTCGATGCCGAGGCGATGCCGTGTAGTTCTGGATGCCCACGGTGGTCACACGAGGTATTGACTTCAGCGCCACCACACGTCTCCATGTGACACTGAAACTGACTTTCCTCGAGTTGGTGCCAAAGACGGATAAGTCTGCATTCCCAGTGTGCAATTTCGCTATACATGTGTTTCATTGACTCATAAAGCCTACAAGATGTTTCAAAATAAACATAAAAATACAGTTGAAATTCCTATATGCGTTTCTTTTTTGGGGAGAGTATATGTATGATGAAGGTGCATTGCGAAAGTGTTATAATTAAACAAAATAAAAATTATTTATTGCACACACATACCCCATACTTTTCTTGAAACATTTGGGTGGCCAAGTAATTATGCGCACCTCCCCCTTCGGCACAAAAGTCGAAATAGACTTCTGCATCAGTAACTGACAAATGGTTGAATATTTAAACTTAATGGAGATTTTATTTATGAGGACAAACCATGCTAAATATATTGCTCATTGTTTTAAGGATAAATATATAAGTGTTGTCGGAATGGAATAGTAACTATTATTTAAAGTTAATGATTTTCCATCTAGATGCGGGAAACTGTATACAAGGAGATAGGAATCCACGACATAGATTCCTTTTCCACTATTACAACAAGGACTATGGCCCCCGAAGTCATGGGATGGCTTTGTTGGTTGCGCACCATGAACTACTTTGCTTACTCACACAAAGATGGCATTCATACAGGTGATACTATAGAGGATGATATGGAAATTAATATCAATAATTGTACATAAGGGTAATATACGGTTAATATATATTACGTGTTAAGTAAATACAAATCCTTCATGAAAATGATATACTTAATGCTGCATTTTGCGAATACATTTCTATTTTCGCTTTTCATACAGGAAATTCAATTAATTATGGTTTTGGGTATTACAGATCTTGATCCAACCATGGTTCTGGATTTGGAATTGGTTAACTGTGTGGATGTGTGTAAGCACAAGAGAGCTTTATACAGGTATATTAATACATGGGTTGTTGGTCAATGATACGTTTCATTCAATTAAGCTAAAATAATACTAAATGAAATATGCTTGAATATGTAATTCCCATTGCATTTGCAAGTAATAAAGGGACACATTACAAAAGCAATAACGTAATGTGGTAATTATCTTCATATTGAAATATTTAGCTTTATAGAAAAAGGATGATACGTTGGAACAAACAACAAATGCTAACAAGGGGTACATGTTGAATGGTGTTCACAAAAGTATGGCTGTGACTGGAGATTTCAGTCGTAGAGGAACGCCCTTGGAACGCCCTTGCGTATAACACCAGAGGAAAGGGAGGCCAAAGAAAATTGGAAGGGAAAACCAAAGATGAACTCCTCAGTTTGGTAGAGTTAAAGCTACAACAAAATGACGTAAGTCACTTAATAATCTTTGATACAGGAATATTTGTATTGCATTACACACTGAATGTTACTAATTTAATGCCCAATGTAATTGCGCCTATTTTGATTGTGATTGTGATTGTTATAGATGCATCGATGGTGATGGGTGTTACTGGCAAACAAGGATAAGTTGAGCACCAACCTGACGATTGACGCGTATTAGCATGTATGAATGCCTCCCACTGGCGCTTGCCAGTGTTAGCGAAGGGACCCCAGGTTGTCCGCGAATCAAGTGTAGTGCGGCTCAGTGAAGAGAGATAAATCGGTGGCATTGCTAGCTTTTAGCAGTGCCTGTTTCGTAGATGTATATTCTTTCTCCATGTACTAAATAACATTTTATGCCACTTCTCGGGCCTCAGAATGTATTATATGACCGTGCTTACCTAATTTTGACATGTTTAATTCTCTCGAAATATATATCTATATATCCGAATATTACCGACTTGCTACACCGACCACGTAAGAGTCTTGTGAGCAACGCGTGTGCAGCTATGCGCGGAATCAATTTCATCGTCATGCAATGCACATGTACTAGCCTACGTCTGCTCCTCCTTTCCCAAACCAAATGGATTTGCTCATTGCCGTGCACCGCCTACTTCTCGTAAACTTGTTCTCTGCGCCGGTCCAACGTATCCTTGTTTGTCAGTAACAATGTAGCAACATAAAATATTTTCCATAAAAGATTGAGAGTTAAAAACAATGATTTCCTTACAAGACGGAGAATGAGTGGAGTAAGAAATCGAAGATGTAAGACGGGGAAGTACTACCGGGATCCTCGCTTTCATGAGTCACCTAGTGGATACAATTGAAGAGAAAAGCGTATCTGATTGACTGAATATGGTTTTACGCTGCTTTTAGTAATATTCCAGCAATATCACGGCGGGGGACACCAGAAATGGGCTTCACACATTGTACCCACGTGGGGAATCGTACTCGGGTCTTCAGCGTGAGAAGCGAACACTTTAACCACTAGGCTACCCCACCGCCCCAAAACGTATCTGAAGAAGGTAGGTTACCAAATTATAACCAATAGAAGTAAGTAAGTTAGCATGAAATTACGTAATCAAATAGTAAACAAACCATTTTCATTAATGTTTTTTTTTTCTATTATGGTAACTTTTGGCGCGGTCGGACGAATCTGAAATGTATTCTTGCCCTCTGGGTCTAGTATGGTGGATAGCCGTTTTTTAGGAGGGTGCTATATCCTCCCCTTTGGACCATTTGGCTCTTTGTGTTTTCCCCAACAATTTCAGTTTACTTTCGTGAATAATATGTCATACAACAGATTTCAGCGTTCAATTTATCGAGGTAATATACCATTAAAAAAAAGTAGGGGATATTCCATTTTTCGAGCATACCACTAGCCAAAGCAAATGCATATGAGAAAAAGTAATATATATCCATACAGATGAAACATTTCCAAAGGAATGGATTAAATTGTCACATTTTCCCTTAATTTCTCCTCATCATTTGCATCTTATCAATCTTGTAAATACAATATCCCCTACTTTTTTTAATGGTATATATGAATAAATATGTAATATAAATTATAAGAGAAGTAGAGACTGTTAGGAACATTAAGTAAGTACAAATATTGGGTATTGAATAAAGTAATTATTACTTGTGATAAATTGTGTTTTGTGGTATATGAAATGAGTATAATGTGTAAGAACAATGAAATGTGTAATAAATGGTATGAAACTTGATTTTTTCATCATATAAAACGTATTTCGGTGTCATTGTTTAAATGTGAAGTGTTTTTAATAATAAAATCATCAATGTACTGACAAGAATTATGTCCCTTGGCCGAAAGAACTATGTCCCTTCTGCCCTCCGTAGATTTGAGTACTTTGGGTGATGACGATCAGTCACCGGCCGCCATTACAGGATAACAACGGGGACGATGCATGGTGAGGGACGTGGTGTGTTGCATTGATTAACATCTATGCATGAGGTGGAAATCTTTGATTTATTGTCAATATTGATGAAACTAGGGCCATTTTTTGGATCAGAATGATGTGATATGGGTCGGGTTTAGCGATAGCGTAGAGTTGACCGAGGCAATGTTGGGCTGCTGGTGCATGCGGTATGTTTACAAGGGATACAGTACTAAGCAAAAGTAAGCTCACCATCCTGCGACGTTCCGTGTAACCGCCGCGGACGGTAAAATTGCCGTTTTTATAGGGTAGATAGGGCTCGTTTATTCACTTACTAGCAAACAAGGATAAGTTGAGCACCGACTAGGGCTTCAACGAGTCCATTTTTTTTAACTCGAGTACTCGAGGGATGAGACTCGACTCGGACCCGAGTACTCGAAATTCATACCTTTCAAGCAAACGATAGCGAAAATTGCATGACGTGTTCCGATCACACAAGTGAACACTTACTTCTTTCCGACTTTATATCGTCATGTGACTAACATTTCCTATTGGTCAGAATCAGTATTTGGATGTTTACTTGACAAATGGTTTGTTCTTCGTACTTTTTTGTAATGCCTGCAAAACGCAGTGATATACCGCACAGGCGGCATTTTGGTTATTTTGCTCTTTTCACTATCCAGATCAAGATACGCCCATACATTTTTTTTTCATCTTTCTCATTGTCTATCAATTGTCAAGATAGTTACCTAATCATTTTAAGAAGTGAAATCTCAAACGATGTATAATATTTACTCTCATCTGCAGACTTCCAACAACTAATACCATACAGCCACACCGTGTGAGGAGTAAACTATTTAATCTAGGCGTTAATAAAAACATTATCAGATGGGTTAAAGAATTCAGGGTACATAGAACTCAGTATGTCAGTGTCAATGGCTACCAATCTTCTTTTCTCTCAACCTCTACTAGAGATCCACATGGCTGTGTTCCTTCATCCGTACTCTTCGTTTTGTATACCAATGACTGTTACTTGCCAATATATGACTTGTTTACTGTGAAATTTGCAGATGACGCCACTGTTACTGGCCTAATTTCTCATTCTGAACATTATTATCGTCAAGACATTGACAAAACCGTAATGACAGTTTTTTATCAAACCTTTATTCAAAATGTGTTGACCTACAATTTTCTATGTTGGTATGGGGATCTGTCTCATCGCAACAAAAACAAACTTTTCAAAATTGTTAATACTGCTTGCAAAATTTCTGTGGTGTCTTTCGAGTATATTCCCTTTATCTATGAGCGCCAGATTATCAAAAAGGCAGCTAAAATTAGATTTGATAGTTGATATATTTGATCTCACCATTTTGAACTACTTCCTTCTGGACGCTGCTATCGATTTCCTTCCCTCAAAACAAACAGAGCTCGACAATTTTTCATACCATCAAGTATTTGTGAATACAACAAATATTTTGAGTCACACCATCATGTGATTAGAACTAGAATTATTCAGCCTCTTTACCTATGTGGTTAATTGAATTATATCATGTCAGATTTATTTGTAAATAAGCCTTCGTTTTGAGCATGTTATTGTGTATATTTTTGTGAACTGTGTTTCTATTCATTTTGAGACAGTTTGGATGTATAAGAATTTCCTCGGGATAATAAAGTTATATCTTATCTTAATATTAGACGTTAACGGCCGCTCGTGCTTAGCACATGGCAGACAGTCTGTCAACGTCAAATAATTCGAGTTATCTCCCCTTTTCGAGTCCTCGAATGCATGACGTGCCGCCCAGTGGCGCTTGCCATTGTTAGCAAAGGGGCCCTAGGTTGTCCGTGATTAAGTGTAGTGCGGCTTGCTTCACCGACGTGAGGGTCTTATAACCAATCTTCTGCATCTACGCGCGGAATCAATTTCATCGTCATGCAATGCACGTGCGCTAGCCAACATCTGCTCTACCTGTCACAAAACCAAATGGGTTTGCTCATTGCCGTGCACCGCCTACGTTCTCTGCGCCGGTCCAACTTATCCTTGTTTGCCAGTAGTTTGGGTGTAATACCCAGGATGAGTCCATGTGTGCTACATAGGGGTTATCCCCAACCTGTTGAAAGGTGTTATGGCCAACAGGACAATTTTATTTTTTTCTTGAAGTTCGTCCTGGGTTACGGGATTTCCAAATCGATAATTAAATGCGCCATCTTTATCTTGTTCCTGGCTAAACTCAACTAAAGTTTCCACCTTGTCATTAGGCACCGGCTGTTCCATCATTTGCGGGCTTTTCCATCAATGTTTTTCTGCTCAGTACATGCACTCAAAACATTTGCACCAATTGAAACTAAAGTACTGTCGGAAATGCTAGAAAAAATGCTTTTTAACCTTAATACTTTGACAAAGGTGATAAATGTACTATGTTGTCAATATATCAACTCGCCGATAGTGTACCTAATTTTTATTTCAATCGATTTAACATTTCCATGCATTTAAAGGACAGTTTACAGGAGAGAATTTGATACCAAAACAACAACGCAAGAATTTTTGAGAGTTTAACATGAGAAATCTGAAATAGTCTTTACATTTATGCTAATAATACAGGTGGTGCAAAAATATAAATTAACGTTTTTTCTTAAACAAATAAAATGTTGAATGTTTGTGTTACTTGACTGAATTATCGTTTCTTTATTGAAGAAAAATTAATATAAATGTTAAGTCTTAATAAATAAGTTTCCGTCATGCATGCACATCTTTATCACCGCGTCCACTATGGCCAACTATTTGCAGTCGATCGTTGCAGAGGTTTATGAGTTTTTTGTGCTTGAGAAAGACAGAGGTAAACCTTTCATTAGTTTAGAAAGGGTTTATTACAGAACTTGGAGAGCTGTTGGTATGTTTTACCAACAAGTTTACAATATTGTAAACAAATCAGACAAGACAGGGACAGTCTCAAAGCAAAACTGGGAAGCTATACCAGTGACTTTGTTAAATCTTTGGCCAATGTTCACAACTGGATTAAACTGACCGAACTACATCCATATTTTTGTAAAGGAATATACTAATGACATGCAAAACATTTATTAAAACGTTGTACATTTCTACAATCAATCGAGAAAATAACACAAGTGATGGGATTCTTTCTCATGCACAATAATTCGTATGTTTATTTCAAAACACACACACACACACACACACACACACACACACACACATATATATATTATATATTTATATAGCTGTTGTTGGTGTGCGAAATGTGGATATCACATGAACCCTTACATAACCAATACGTATACTATACTTACACATATTCACCATTATGAAGAAAAAGATGTATTGAGATGACCCCTCACCCGAGCATGTGCTCAGGTGTCAATTTCACCTGTCGATACCGTGCATGCTGATGACATAACACAGGCAGTTAATGTTTGTATCAAATAACGCTCCACTACCCATTATTTTTCTAAGTTTTTGATATTTTCATATGTAAAAACACATTTTAGGGCATGTCTCAAAATTTATTCCCTCGGTCTACATTAGGTAGATGTTTAACTGTTATATCTCTGATTTTTACATAAAAGTCAAAAAGCATTTTTCCAGCATTTCCGACAGTACTTTAATACATATTTGTGTTTAACATTCATGACGGTTTATAAGTCAGAGAAAACACTCTCTTTGGTAGCAAATGTAAACCCTTGGAGTCGGGAAAATCCCTCTATCCCCGGGTTTACATTTGCTACCATTTGCGTGTTTTCTGATTTACTTCTAACATACTTCGAACCCGTTCGTTTTGTTTCACTCGAGTGCTTGCTTGCGCATGCACAGATAGCCATCTAGCGCGAACGACACATTGTTCCGCTGGGTGACACACTCGGTTGACTGTTTACAAACAAATAAAATAAATTTAGGTCAGTTGATTAAACATATGTCTGTAAATATTTTCGTGCTAGTAACAGTGGTCTATAAACATAGACATGATGCAGTGTCCGAATATGACTCGTACGGGGTTTGTAACACTCATTTGCGACCATCTGTGAATCAATTCAATTAACCAAAACCAAAACAACAGCTTGGTTGATTACGAATTTATTATCCCGCGTCGCGCGTTCAGCGCGAATCGGGGGATATAGTATTAGGCTCCGTCCGTCCGTCCGTACATCCGTCCGTACGTCCGTCCTTCCGAATATCTTATGAACCGTTGACTGGATTCTTTTCATATTTGGTACCTAGGTTTATCACAGTAAAAGGAAGGTGCCAGTCAGGTTTGGTGACCTTGACCTTCATTTCAAGGTCACAAGGGGACTTTAACGTTTTACTTGCACGTTAAGCTATCTCAAGAACCATTCACTGGATTTTCTTCATATTCAGTACCAAGCTTTATCTAGGGAAGGCGCAGGGCCCAGTCGAACTTGGTGACCTTCACATAATGTTCAAGGTCATGGCGACACTTTGAATATTTCAGCATGTAAACCTGCATGTTAAGCTATCTCAAGAACCCTTAACTGGATTGTGTTCATATTTCATACCAAGCTTTATCTAGGGAAGGCGCAGGGCCCATTCAATTTTGCTGACCTTCACTTAATTTTCAAGGTCACAGAGACACTTTGAACATTTCAGCATGTTAAATCGCATGTTAAGATATTCATCAAGATATCGCTAAAAATATTCTGTGGATTTTCTTCATATTTGTCCCCAAGCTTCATCTAGGGAAGGACCATGGCCGAGTCAATTTTGGTGACCTTCACATAATTTTAGGGTCACGACGACACTTTGAAGATTTCAGCGTGTTAACCTGAATTGTCAGCAAGATATTTTAAGAACGGTTCACTTGACCTCTTCACAGACTTTCAAGACCTCCCTTGAATGTTTTTCAATAAGCAATGTCTTTAGTACTAGTTTTGCATATTTCATACACTATGACATTCATGTCAAGGTCAAAGTCAGTGTTGAAAATATGTGTGTGTTTGAACAACTAAACAGCAAGATATCAAGAGAGGTAGACTGGTCATGTTTTTGTTGACATTTAACTTCATCTTAAACTTTCATTACTTTTATAAGTTTGATTTGATAATTTGCGGCGGGGGATTATGTCACCTTAGTGACAATGCTTGTTTTATTTATGTAAGTAAAGCGGTAAATAAGGACGAATATCTTTGACCTACTCATCCATGTTGCTATGAACACCGCGTCAAATGACGTACTTCCGCCACTCTCACGATCTCCCTCCTAGATTTTTGCAGGAGGGACCTCTTGACACTCGAACGAACGCACGCGAGAGACGCTCGGGCCGTTCGATTAGGTAATTCATCGCACGTGCGAAACACTTGTGCAAAACTAACGCACCCTCAGGTTTGCACGAGCGATGAATTTTATTGATATCATAGTGTGTTTAACAAATTCGGTTGAAGCCATAGTTTAATCAGACGATCTCATTCTAACACTACGGACAGAAATGGCGACCGCCAAGAAGCTGACAGACAACCACCTGACCTGTGCCATCTGTACTGAGGTGTTCACAGACCCTGCCACACTTCAGTGTAATCACACATTCTGTAAGTCCTGTCTTCTGAAATACACCAAAACGCAGACTGAAGCAATACAAGCCAAGTCCATCCCATGTCCGTCCTGTAGACAACAGACAAATGTGACCAGCCCTGACAGTCCAGTGGAGGAGTGGGTCAGTCATCTGAAACCAAGCCACGTCATACAGAGTCTGATGGACGATTTGGGGGGATCGTCAGGTGAGAAAGTTTGAAACGTTTTTCATGTCTGCAATACATTGACAAAATCTGTATTTAAAAGTTGTAGCCCATACAATGTATATATTTAATAGTTGTAGCGAATAGCTAGCGTCTGTCTGTCTGTATGTATGTGTGTATGCGTATAATAGTAAGTTGTATTAAGTGGATGTATGTTTATTGAATAACACGAATCATTCGAGCAGGTTTTCGATTTTCAGATGTTGATGCATGTAGCGTGTGCAAAGAAGATGGCCAAACAACTCCAGGTACAATGTGGTGCACCATTTGTGAAGATGTCTTCTGTGATGGGTGTCTCAAGTTACACAAAAAGATGCCACTATCACGTGACCACGAAGTGCTTGATGTACATATCCATGGCAACAGAAAAGCCAAAATACGTAACTTTATGTGCAGAATTCACAAGGACGAGAAGATAAAACTGTTCTGTAAAGACTGCAGGGTGGCAATGTGTTCTGTATGCTGCAGCATCAAACACCGGAAGTGTGATGGTGTTGAAACAATAGATGTTATGATGCCCCTTGTTAAAGAAACTCTGGTGAATGAAACAAGGAACCAAGAGAAGAAGATACAAACTTACACCGACAATATTTCATCAACAAACTCAAACATTGAAAAGCTGACGACTAGTGCACAAGAAATGAAAGATGAAGTTAGGAAAGTACGCATGGAGGCTGCAGACGTTCTTGTGAGAAAGGAAAAGGAACTGCTGTATCGCATTGACAAACTCACAGAGTCCCGTGTACAAGAACTGAAAGCCTACAGAAAGAACCAGGAAGATGACATCCAGGTGGAACAGCAGCGCTATGAGTTCACGGAGAATGTTTTGACGTCAGACTGTGTAGCAGACATGTTTGATATGTATGGGTCTATAGGTGGAGCATCTAGAAATGAAGATGCAAGTGAGAACAAGAGACCACAGACTAGCATCATCTTTGAACACGCCAGAGAGAAGTTGATGAAATCTTTGGATGAGGTGCAGCTTGGGCAGGTCAAAGTTGCTGGTGGTCGCAGTCCTGTTCTCCTGGAATCAATTGATTTAAGTAGCGATAGAAAGGGGTTGATTGAAAATTTGCTTGATTTCTGTGCTGGATACAGGTATCTCGATTTCCGTGATGTTGTAATATTTGCCCTCAATGATATCAGGGTCATTACCGTCGTAGATTATTTTTATAGACTCATTACGTACTACGTTCAAAACACAACATCCTTGAAGAAACATCTTCAACTACCTTCTGGGCCAGTGGGAATAGCTAAGGTGGGTGGAACTAAGGCGGCTGTTACTCTGCCATACACACAACAAATAGCCTTCATCGAGCTTGACCCTGAACCTACATTGCAGTCAACTGTGAAAACAGAGAGGAAGTATCGTGGTTTAGCCTTCCTGAACCCTGCACAACTGGTAGCAGGAACATTAGACGGTCCTGCCTCTGTTGACGTTCTAGATATGGCAGGAAATGTACTGAAATCAATCAACACAGGTGTGATAAGTACTCCACAATACATTCATGTTACGAGGAATAAGAACGTGGTAGTCAGTGAAGCGGAAGTGAAATCCCTGGTATCTGTGACTCTTGACGGACAAGCTGTTTTCACCTTCACACCGAGAGGAGCCAGGACTCTGGAACATCCTCAAGGCATCACAACAACCAGCACAGGAGACATCCTCTTTGCAGACTCAGGCTCCAACAAGGTGATTCAGCTGACAGAATTTGGGCAGTTTGTCAGAGACGTTCTCACAGCACGCGATGGCTTAGAGTATCCCACAGGTATCTGTCTGGATGATGACGGTCTGTTGTATGTCACTTCAGGCAGTAATGTGAAAGTATATGCCTATGAATAGTTTATGTCTGTCTGTGTGTATATATATATATATATATATATAAACAAGTGATTTTTGCAGGTGTAGGGGAGGTGGGGTAGCCTAATGGTTAAAGCGTTAGCTCGTCACGCTGAAGACCCGGGTTCGAATCCCCACATGGGTACAATGTGTGAAGCCCATTTCTTGTGTCCCCCGCCGTGATGTTGCTGGAATATTGCTAAAAGCGGCGTAAAACCAAACTCAGTCAGTCAGTCTGCAGGTGTATAAGCAATAAATATATCAAATGTGAGTCCAGATATTTCTTCTTGCCAAATCTCCTTTATATCTGCAGATATAAAAGAGATTCGGCAAGAAGAAATATCTGGACTCATATTTTATATATATATATATAGATATATATAAGTATCTCTAAGTTTCCACTGTTTTCCAAACTTGTGTCTGTCTGTTTGTGTTGCTGGAGTGGTATGGCCGCTGGTGAAGGCAGGATGTGATACCACACAAATCTATGTCATAATAACCCACCATTTGTGAATTAGCTGATACGATATATGTGTACACTGTAGCCAGATGATATCATTTAACCTGACAACGCCGACGGCTTCTTATCGAGGATACGTTGGTTTGGGCAAGGGATGCGTGGCTTGCTTGTTGTCTCCGATCCCATGCTGTTCATTCTCATCTTCCCTTAATGCCACTGGTCACATAAGTATTTGATCGAATCTCATTTCATTGTGTTTTGACGAAACTTAAAGAAATGCCTATTCAAATATCTTACTGCCACCTCGTGCTGTTGAGAAATGGTCCTAATTCCTGTTGATCTTGCTTCAGAGAGCACACGAATACTATAATATTTTAATGCTTTCTTATGCATCCGTCAAGAACTAGATTTAAGAGTTATCAATCTCAGTCAAGATACTGCAACTGCAATTATAGTATAAAATAAACTAAGCTCCAGCTGCACCAAGTCACAGTCTTGTTGCTGAGAGTGCAGTGTCCAGTGTCCAGTGTCCAGTCCACCGAGAACATTCTCATGTCTGTGATGCTTTTTAATGGTCGAGTTCGAGCATCATGTTCTTTCTCTGGTTGATGATATATTTTACATAATTGTGTGGAATCGAAATCCGCCAACAGTTACAACTTTTGAGATAGTATCAACACATAATATATACAAATTATTCAAGAGTAGATGTATATTTGAGGGAATGAATAACTTGTTGAGTTTAATGCATGTTTCCAACTTCAACCTGAACTGCTAAGTACAAGATTGGAATGTTCTATTTCTGAAGGTAGTACAGACTCAGATGACCAAACACACCCAGTGACTATACATGATGTCTCAGTTGCCCAGATGCAAACATATATCCCCAATGTAAATACAGCTTACATTAACAAACCTTCATTCTCCAATCAAATGTCATGGTCCCTAGTATGGTAATCTACCTTCAATTGTTCGTGACCTATGGCCCCGTTTTTATATTTTATTAACCTGTATTGTAATAAATGTTTTACATGATAGTTTTATTTTTTTTATCTGTGATAACCTAGTTGTTTTACTGTCCTTTGTTCACAGATTTCAGGAAAAACTTTATCTATTATTAAAGTATGTTATTGTAGTCACGATATGGCTGCAATATTGCCAATGTGACTCAAAATCTTAACTGACTCACTCACTCCAATCCAATGTAGACCTGGCAAATTAGACATATCCTTGCAGAAATAAGATAATCTTTAGTAGAGAATCAAGCATGAAATGCATCAAATAATAAACACAATCGCCTGCCTGGCATATGAACGTACTTGTTGTGAATTTTCGTGTTTTACAAATATAGACTGGCATCAGCCATGAGTTAACCATGGCCAAGGTATTCCACACAGTGGTACACGCCCTGTTAAAACAGGAAGCAATGATTTACTGAAACGGGACATACTTCGATGACACTTTGGTCTCTTTAGTAAAGAAATGAGAGATCACCGTGTGAACCTTTCAGGGTGGGTTTAATTTCAGTGTAACGTCAACAGAATGCTCAAAATGTGTGAAAAAATAATTTTGTATACATAAGAATGTTATACTCGTGTAGGTATGTAGAGAACTCATGAATCAGAACTTATGTATAGGCTCTGGTGGTTTGAACGCCGGCTCATACTCTTACAACTGATGAACAAAAGCAGTTTGTTACTACATATATAAAGGACGCTATTTCATCACCTGCTGATCTTCGACTATCAAGAGATATCAACAAGTACAGTACAACCAGAAATTGTTGAGAATTTAAAGATTGTAAATTTGTTATTTTTTTCACTCATTACTCACGTATTAAATGTGAATATTAGCAGAACATAACTCCAGATTCAAAGACAGGTGAACAGTTAGTATTTTGTCAAGTCACCATGGGCAGCAATGCAGGCTTCAATGCGCGGGGCATACTACTGATCAAAGAAGTTAGAAAGTCGTGGTCCATGCTTTCCTAATATCGGACCACCTCTTCTTTCATTTCAGCAATATTTGTCAGATTTTTCTTATTGACACTCGTTGTCCTGCTGGAAAATCGAAAAATGTCCATAGAACACGTGAACAGATGGAAGTAAATGTCCCTCGAGAATATCTGTGTACCGCTCACTGTTCATATTCCCTTCAAATACACAGAGGGGCGTTGCCCCTAACACAGATATGCCACCCCACACGTTAAATTTGGGCGCTGATACAAAGGTTTTTAATTTTGTTTGGTCCAGAAATTCAGTGTATTAGGAAACAGCCACACAGAACTTTCATCTGAGAAAATCACATTGTCCCAGTTACAATTTCTATGCTGTAAGCACCAGTTCAACCTTCGCTCCTTTTGTTCAGGTTTCATGATCGGTGATGGAATTCCTCGACTTTTCTACCAACCCATTTCATGCAGCTCAGTTCTAATTGTCTCCTTACAGACAGCCACAGTTCCTCTATCAATCATATCGAGCCTTAAGTTTTCTAAACTCCTTAGTCAATTGCAGTCCGACAGTCAATTTTCTGGGCCTCCCTGGGGCTCAATGCCATATCCATTTGCAATATTTTTCAAAACACGATAAACAGTGGACAAAGGGATGCCTGTTATTCTTGAAATCACTTTAGCTGATCTGATGTCCTTGTTATAATACTCTAAAATCAACTTCCTCTTCTCTA